TGGAAATATATGTGCACAGGGCATAAAACAGAATAATCTTTATGTGTTGCAGAAACAAAAGGTTCAATGTGCCCAAACATTTGGTAATATGGCACAACATGATTCATGCATTCATCTCTTGCACACAAAGGTTGGCCATGCCAGCTTCAGAATGTTGCATAAGATGCCAAAGTTTGCAGAGGGATTAACCTTGAAAGGGTGTAAGGCATACTTAGAATGTGCAGTATATAAATCATCAAAATCTAAGGTGGTTCCAGTGAGCAAGAAGAGCACAAGGCAAACAACAAGGGTTCTAGAGCTGGTACATGCAGATTTGGTTGGCCCAATGCAAGCCAGCTTGGGAGGAGCAAGGTATGCACTGGTCATTGTAGATGATTTCAGCAGATTTGGTTTCTGCTATTTGCTTAAGAGCAAAACAGAGATGCTGCAGAAGTTCAAACAATGGGTGAGCTTCACAGGAAGAAGATATGGGCAACAGGTATGCCAGCTGCAAACTGACAGTGGTTCAGAATTCATGTCAGCAAGTTTTCAACAGTGGTTGGGGCAGCTAGGAATAAGACATAGATGCACAAATCCATACACAGCAGCTGAGAATGGCATGGCTGAATGATGGAATGGAGTCTTGCAGACCATGAAAGACTCACTGCTGGAGGATTCTGGTCTGAGCAGGTCGTATTGAGGCGAAGGCATATTGACTGCCAATTATTTAGTCAATAGGCTATGGAGTTCCTCTATAAATGATACTCCATATGCTGTGCTATATGGGAGAAAGCTATCTTTGGCACTTTTAAGGGTATTTGGAAGCAATGCATATTCCAAAGGCAATCAGGAGAAAAGGGCAACAAAAGGCTAGAAAGCTCAGATTTATGGGCTATGAGCCTGGCTCAAAGAGCTATCACTTTAGCGATGGAAGCAGAAGGATAGTAATTTCCAGATCTGCTAGCTTTGCAGAACAGAACTGGGGCAGAATTGATGCTAATTCTGGGGATGATCCACTTAGTGACGGTGACTCACTTAGTGACAGTGTCAGTATTCAGGAAGGAGAAGCTGAAAAAGAGCAAGAAAAGGAGTCAGAAGAAGATGGTGACTCTGGTGTAAAGCAGAAAAGGGTTGATAATCAAGAACAGTCAATGCCATGCAGGTCAGAGTGATGGAATAAAGGGATTCCATCTGACAGGTATTCTGCTGGGAAAGTAAAGGTGTGTAATTTGTGGTATGAGCTAAGAAACTATCAGGAAATATTGACACTACCCAAAGTGGAGCAAGTGAAGTGGAAAGAGGCCATGGACAAAGAAATGAAATCCATGGATGAACATAAAGTGTTCACCTCTATGACTTTGCCACAAGATTACAAAGCTGTAGGATGTAAATGGGTATACAAAAAGTAAGTGTTACCCAACAATGAAGTCCAATATAAGCAAGATTAGTGGCACAGGGATTTTTGCAGAAGAAAAATGTGCACTATTATATTTGCACCAATGGTAAAAAAAGTGAAACTGTAAGGTTGTGTCAGAATCCAATTATATTTCATCTCTAGTTATTGACTATGGAAAACCCCATTTCTGCCCTCTCTGGATTCTGTCATACGATGAAGGGGAAGGGGGGTGAACAAAGGGATTTTATGGCCCTCACTTCCTTTGGTACAACTTCAAAGGGATTGAATGTGGATACCACCAAAGGACTAAATCATAACAATGGGGCCATCAGCTTTCATCTACTCCTCTCTGAAATCTCCCTTCCACCAGCAGTGAGGAAAAAGGGGGTGGAAATGTAACACCTGGGATTGTCGCTGGAAAGATGGTGGGGTGGGGTGGGGCTGCTGAGGACCCCTTAAAACCTTGAACCATAGGGCTTGGACCCCAGGTCCTGTCTAGAATGCCTGCAACCATTTTCTCTTAATAAAGGATGCCTGTTGGAAGAAATATTCCAAGAGTTCTGTCTTCTTAAGATGCAAAGTGGGCTGGGTCCTTACATTAGACAGGACCTGCAGAATTAATCCACCTGGAAGGAAGAACCTTGCGGAGGGACTTTGCAAAAATTATCATGTCAGACGGCGGAGCAAGGAAGGGAGAAAACTCCCTGGAAAGGGAGCCGCTGCCCCAACTGAAACCCTGCCAGATGTCGGGATCTGAGAGATCAGATTTCTCAGGAGAAGAGGTGGTGGAGACATGGGACCACAAACCTTGGTGGTCAATGGGCATTGGAAAGAAAGGCGAAAGAAACAGCATGCTTGAAATTGGTGAGAGTACTGATCTTCTTTCTTCTATCTACTATTTGCATCCTTGAAAAAATTCCCAAAGCAAGAAAACCTCCAGAAGTGAATGGAGGGGACTATATCCCCATTCCCTTACAGATGTAAGCAGCGAATTAACATAAAAGGTTGAAAGAGATATACTAAAATTTGATTTAAAATATTTCAGTCTGGACAAACCTAGGAACTAAAAAACTGTCAAGGTTATACCATAAAAAATTCCTGATGGAATTATAAAAATATATAACAAAAATAACTTTTTGATGGAAAGAAAAACTGAAAAAAGAAATAACTGTTGACATCTAGTGGAGAATCAGAGAATAGAACACTAACAATAAGGACTCAGAAATTGGCAGAATGCCCAGAAACAAAGAAAAAGTTATTCCTTTGAATTGCATTCCTTTGAAATAACCTTGAAGACAGCTGGGAACAAAGGAAGATTTAAAAAGTGTTTGAAAGGAAAAACTAAACAAAACACCTGGACTGTTGCTTAATCTAAGAACTGTTTATGGGGGAAAAAAACATTGGCTTTCTGACTAATCTTTTAGGAAGGATTTAAAGTGGCTTAATATACTGAATCTGTAATTTTGACTGACTGATAAATTTGACTGACTGAATTAAAACATTTTTATAATGCATGACATAAAATATTGGGATGATGTACCTAAATAGTAAAATTTAGACAGTGAGATTACTAATATGAAGAAATTATAACTGATAAGAATTGGATTGAATATAGGGGAATCTAAGCGAACAAAAATTATAAAAATAGGATGTATGCTGAACTAATGAGATAATGGTTATGAGAATAATATAAGATGAAAAAAATTTATATGTAGAGATTATTATTTGTATAAATATAAAAAATGCCTATACCTAATCATTTATATATTGAAAATATTAAGAATTATATTTTGGCTAAGGTTGAAGAAGGAAAATACAAATGGGAGAAGGGAAGATCAAAGAAATATATTATTAATTAATATATTAATTATGGAATTATCAAATTTAATCATTATTGACTTAATTATTACTGTCCTTTTTTTCCTTGTTAAAATATAAATCAAGACAACATGCTATACACCAGGCACTGGAGACTGTTATAGTTAAAAACCAATAAAATATCTATTAGAATTACCAGATTCCATTTCTCTCCTATAAAAATGTTATTAACACTTCAGGTGTCTCTCCATTCCCTTTTTCCTTAACATAGTCAGTAATCATTTATTAATATCATTTCTTCTTTTTTCAAAAATCCCTCTTATTCTTCTCTCATTACAAAATAACTATCCTTTCTAACAACAAAAATATTACTCCAAAAAATACATTTCTATTCTATTTTTTTAAAATCTATAATCTATCAGTCAATCAATATCTAAATCAAACTACTTTAATCCCCACCCAAATTTACTATGTCCACAACAAACATATTGATACACAAGCAAACATCTTCTTACTAAATTCAGATATTCAATTAATTATTATTCATTCTGACGTCTTGGTTACCCATCTTAAACCATGAATCAATCCGTATCTAAAAAGCCTTTTAAACCCATTATATAAAGTTTTGGATCACACTCTTAAATCTTATTCTAGCTTTCTTTTTATGCCAAGTAGGTTTCCATAACAGAGCCTCTATATCAACAAATAAGTCTCTTTTTGTGCCTTGTAGTATCATTTGGGTCAAGAAAGAGTGTCCCCTTCCCTGTTTTGAAGACCTGACTCCTTTGTAGATAGTCCCTTGTTGTTTCAAAGGTTCAAGTCTCGACATTTGAATCTGTTGGATAGAACACTCAATTATATCCATTTTTGTAATTAGTAGTTGATTATCCAAGTTATCATAGTTCTCAATTAATTGTATTTGTATATCTGTTTCTGTTGGTTTTAAGATTATGAATGATTTAATTACAGTCATTTTTTGTTCATCAGAAATCTCTTTAAGTTGTGTATAAGATGAAGTAGAATCTTCTTTAATGTTGATTGGTTCTGCTTCTATTGTTTTTTGGTCTGTAGAATGCTCAGATAGAATCTGGAGGTCAGTTTGTAAGTTCAAAGTAGAATTTCTATTTTTTATTTCTATAGTACTCTCTTTTATTTGCAGACATATTTGCTCAGTGGCTTCATAAATTTTTTCCAATATAAATTTACAATTGAATTGTGAATAGGGTTTCTCCATTTCAACAGTGATTAGAAACAGTTCTGTTATCTTTTAGTGGAGGCTGTATTCAAAAAACATTTAGCAGTGTCCAACCCCACAAATGCAGCTGTTGAATTTCTTTGTCTTTTCCCTTTTATGATGATCTGAAGGTCAAAGCCAATCTCAACATCAAACAGGGAAAAAAGACAGTTGCAATTTTAACTTTCTCCACAAGGTGTCCTCAGTAGACTGTAAAATCTCTTCCCAGACACCAAAAAATGATGTTAATAAGATAAAAAAAGAAAAAAAATTCTTCACATGTAGATTAAATCCAGTAGAAACTTCAATAATAGAAGTTTTTTCAAGACCCCAAAATAGATGGAAAAGTCAGAAATAAGAAATAGTCAATTAAAGTTGATTTTCAGTCCATTTAAGCTTCTTTTCCCACACTCACAAATGCCACTTTCTTAAAGCAGGGAAATAAGTAGTTCCAGAAATGCTTTTTACAGGAAGCAAAAAAGAAAAGAGGACTAAGAGAGAGAAAAAAAATCTCACCCAGATCAACCATGGTGGTTCTTGTGCTTAGGTGTTCTTCTGTTCTTCTGGTTACAGCAGTAAAGTGATCGGCCATTTCACTGGCTGATCTTTCCTCCATCGGCCATAAGGAGCATTTCTCAGACTGTGGAAGGAGCTGCTGCCCTTCCATAGTCGATGACGGCCTCCTCAATGGTAGTCGCCCCTCCACGGCAACTTTTCAACCCGATTAAGGGTCTACCTGCAGAAGGAAAGCAGCCGCCAAAGAGAGCAGTCTTTCTGATCGGCTGTAGACACTGCAATCTGGAACCAGAAGTAATTGAAATGGTAATGGTAATTGAAAATAGTAAAGCTTAATACAGGATTTGGATTTATATAGATGCAATGTTATTGATGATTGCTTTGATTGACTTAACTTTATTGAAATACATTAATTTGAATATAATATATTATTAGAGGGAATAGAGAGGGAGTTTTTAATGATTTAATTTGAATTATATATGTATGATATTGCTCTTGGATAATTGATTACCCTGTCATCACGTTGTTTCTTAAGCACTTGTTTGTAAAAAGAAAAAAACAATAAAACTTGTTTTTTTTTTAAAAAAAAATCTATTAAAAAAAAGAAGAGACTGGACAGCCACCTGTCTGAAATAATATAGGGTCTCCTGTTTGAGCAGGGGGCTGGATTAGAAGACCTCCAAGGTTCCTTCCAGCTCTATTCTGATTGATTTAACTGCAGAGGAATAATAATAGTAACTGCATGAAATAATCTTTGTATGCATAGTTGCATGTTCCAACAGATGTACTCTTTATTATTTTATTCTATATTGGATTTACTTCCCCCAATCTCCAAATGCATTTGGAAAAACATCCACAAATAACATGGCCAATTCCTAGCTCAATAAATCTCAATAAATCAGCAGCCTAAGATTCTAAGAGAGATTGGTCATACTCAGAATGTTAACTGACATAAGCTTTGTTTGGATGCTATTAAATCTAAAAACTGGATAAATTCCATGGCTTGTCAACATCAGTCAAAATAACATTGCTTTCCTATAGACGTTTGTGTGTCCAGCATGAATATGTACAGAATAACCCTTAGCTTTCATAAAAACCAGGATTCTCTGATATCAGGATCCCAAATCACTTGGAAGCTATCATTCACATACTATTGAGTGGTTTGGATTAATAATGCCCAAAGAGAGTTCTACATAAAGTGAAATCTGTTAGAGTTTACAGCTTTCCAGCGTGAAAATAAGCCCAAAAAATAAGCACACATTCAAAATGAGCAGGAGGCATAGTTTAGAAAAACTTTATCTATAAAATATATACAAACATGATACATACAGTTTCATTCAGTTCTTGGGAACGTGGTAGAGAACAACAATTAACTCAGGACATCAGGACACAGGGAGAGACTAAGACAAGCCCAGACCTAGGCTGGATCACATGCCTTTTACAGCTAATACTGTGTCTTAATCAAAACCAGTTCTCATTGGCTGGTTTGTTGCTATGCCTATTCCAGTTCATAAATTCTTGCAAACTGACAAAATCCAAAATTACATGAGTAGATGTCTGCAATGAGATTGAAACTTCTTTTTCACAGCTATGGCTGTTCCTGAGCACTGCAGAGCACATTTTGTGGCTGTGCAAAGATGCTACCCTGCCAGACTAATTGTATCTCCTCATTCCAGTAATGGAAATTATTTCATCAGTAAAAGATATTAGCAGGATATTTGTTTTTGACATATAGCTCAGTCACTCATTTGTTACATTGAGCTTTCAGTTTGACACATTAATTGCCTAAAGTGGTTTTACGAGAGATATAGCAAAAGTGAATTTTGAGCTAGGCATATTATAAACCATTCAGTGTGACATGTGCTACATGGATCTGTTCAATCAACATGCCATGTTGAATCAATTAAACCTGCCTTAAATTTTGTTGCAATTCACACTAAGGTGAAAGCTTCATTAAACACTGGAAACCCATACAGATGGTCAAGAAGAATTGAAGAAAGTTAGTGAATGGTAACATCTCTTGAGAGAATTAAGCAAGATCCAAGGCTGAACCTGTATAAGTTATGCCTGATTTCCCAACAAATACCATACAAAGGTACTTAACTATAGCTATTCTTTCCAATTGTTCATAATAATCCACAATTTGTAACAATTAATCAAAGGAGACTTACTGCATTTTTTTGCTTTCAAAATAATTGTTAAATATGTGCAAAGCACTGAAACATGTTTCAGTTTTATTTTTAAATATGTGCATATCACAAAACACTTGCCAGAAGCAAATTAAAGCCAGTGGGGGAAAACATTACTATCAGGGCAAAAAAGCCAGTCTTGAGTGAAAAGAAACAGAAACTATTGACAAGAGAGGCATTGTGTGAATGCAAGAGAAATGAAGTTGTTTTAGAGTACAGTAGTAGTTGTTGTGATAGCTGTGGTCATGGAGGAGGAGGAGGAGGGGGGAGGGGGGAATACTTAGAAATTTCTTTCAAACATACAAGCAAACACCATTTGGTGTCAGCCTTTTTATGGCAATTCCATGCAAGCATCTTAGTAGATGCTGAAAACCTCAAATTCCCTAACTGGTATATGTAATAAGGATCTGCCCTCTTCCAAGATGTTGTATATTCCCACACAGTGGGTTTTACATTATCATTATATTCTCTCTCTCTCTCTCTCTCTCTCTCTCTCTCTCTCTCTCTCTCTCTCTCTCTCTCTCTCTCTCTCTCTCTCTCTCTCTTCCATAATGGAAGGAGAAAATGTTAGATTAGAAAACTTCAATTAAGCCTTTAAAAACACCATCTGCTGAATGCTGACTGGGGTTTCATGTAAACAAAATGCCTGTGCTGGTTACAAACAAATGATCTTATCTATTGTATTGTGTTACAAATTAAAATTAGATTAAGCCACCTACATGATACCACTGCTGAATCTTAAATTTCTTATGGAAACTGAATGTTTGCTGCAAGTGTTCATTCGGTCTGATGAGAGCCTCATTATTTCTGTACCAGCAGTACACACTGGGTATAGCATAATCAAAGCCTGGGGGTACATATTAATTATCCTTTTGAATAGTGATGAAATTTTAAAAAGTTCTCCTTTAGGCTCACATCATCAGCAGATGAAACAAAGCTTTGCACAGCTTGCGAGCAGTGGCTCACATGTGTTTTTACATCTGTTCAAGATATTTCAATTGGAAGCGCAACAAGCCAAGACTGGGATTAAAGGCTGGAATAAAAAAAGGGACAAGGAGTGAGAAAACTGCAGAAGCTAATGATCCATGCCCTGGGCAGTCCAGGAGAAGGTCTCTGGATATAAAATGAATATACCATTATTGTTGTTGATAATGATGATGATGATGATGATGATAATGATGATGATGATGATGATGATGATGCCTCTCCTTCCTCCTCTTCCTCCTCATCCTTCCAGGATTAATTCAGCAGATATTTGTGAGGCTTTTTGACTGGTGATCCAAACAAGATTTCCACCCCAAGCCACAAGGCAAAAAATCTAATCTTTCTAATTAGCTTTTATTTTCTCGTGACCACTTCAGGGATTGACATTTTAGTCCTGCATGAATTCACAAAGAAACTAATTCAAACTGATATTGTTGAAACATGTTTGGGATAGGAGAAGACTTGTTCTCTAGTACCTGAAGATATCATGGGGTGAGGATAGAGGTGCAATTCATATTTATGGGGAAAAAAATAAAATTTTTGGCTTAATTGAAGATGCAATGATATGTAGTCTTCACTGCATTTCAGAGGACAGAGCTTGGACCAGACTTACATAAGAATGCAGTAAGAATATAAATATAAATTTTCTAACCTAATTTTCTAAATATAAATATTTGATCTAACTTACCATTTCAATTGAAAAAAATCACTTTTGACTGGCAGGATAATTTCAAATTAATTTTGATTTTTTTTTCATTCTACTCATGAAGCCAGAAGCTACAGTTTGTTTAGGCCTAGGATTTGTAGAATATTTCTAGATGTTCTGTTGTTCCATCTATTTCTCATATCTGTTTTGTTTTGTTACAATTAGCATAGCAAAAAACTGAGTCTCATCCAGAAAATTGAGGCTCATATTTATTTTTCTTTGTTTTTGTTTTAAATATGCATATTATCTAGTGGAATTAAAGGTATTGAAACAACAATGGGAGCATAAATGCAAATTTTAGTGTTATTGTCTAACCAACAATTCAGTAAATATTTAGATCTTGTTTTTCTTGAGATACTTTCATCAACTGATCATCATCAGTTTCTTCTTTCCAGCTATTTGAATGTGGGATATTTAAACTGAGTATATTGCCTATAAGCATCAACTAATTTTCTCTGTAATATTAGAAGATGATTTCAATGGAGTATAAAAAAGAATAATTGTGGTGTATTGGTCATTAACTTAGTATTTCTAAGCAAGACAGCAAATATTCTGGAGTGTGGCAATCAACGGGTGGAGAAGTAATTCTAGAAATTTGCTTTAGCTTTGAATTGGCCTCATGATAAAAGCTGGCCTTCTTGAGTTGCAGTTCACTTTTAACAGTGCTAGGGAGCATGCATAACTGTTCATTGCAATATTCACAACAATTTCACAGTATTTTCAGTCCATCAATGACAAAGCCACCTGTCAGAACCCACATCTCTCTGATTTCATACTTCCCTTGCTCTCCTCTCATATTTCATAGTTCCCTTGCTCTTTTCTCTGACCCAAATTCCATTCTCTTCTCTCCCTGGGTTCTGCCATACTCTTTGAGGGGAGGGGGGAAGGATCGCAGGTTTATTGCTTTAGCTTCCTCTATCGCTACAATGTAACATTTCGCTTTCCTGCACTATTTCTCTCTGTATTTTCTTCTTTCTTTATTTTTTCCTTTTTTTCCCCTGCATTTTTTCTCTATTGAAGCAGGTCCTGACATTAGACAGGATCTGCAATAGTAGTCAACCAGACCTTGCCGGGAGACTCTGCAAAGTCTATCATGTTGGACACCAGTGCAGAGAAGGAAGAAGCCACCGTGAAGGAGGAACCCTCCGGTCAGAACCCTGCCAGCTGTCCAGCTCGGAGATGTCCTACACCTCGGAGGAAGAGGTGGTGGAGATGCGCAGCATAAGCCCCGCTGGTCCAGGGGTGTAGGAAAGAAGGATGAGTGGAAAAAGAAAACAAGAAGGGTGACACTGAGGTGAGGCAGCCACCAACCAGGATGGATGCAAGAGATGGAGAGATCTCTGCACCCCAGTGGGGATGAGGACGATCATGGGGAACAATCGAGCTGGATCCTGGAGAAGGCCATCGACCTGATGAAATCAACCCTT